ATCATGCAGGACAATAACACAATATCATAACCAAGATACTGGCTTGGTACAGTCAAGATACAGAACGTGTGCCTTATCAGAGGACCCCTCATCCTACCGTTTGGTAGCTAGACCCTCCTCCTTAACCCTGGCAACCTCTGCTCTGTTCTCCGTCTCCATAATTTGTCTTTTCAAGACAAACCTTTAGAAGTTGGCTTTTTCACTCAGCATAATCCCCTCAGATCCATGCAGATGGTTGCTATAGCAGTAGTTCATAGATCATGAATTAGTGTTCCATTATGCGGATATACCATTCATCCACTGAGAAAGCCATGTGGGTCTTTTCTGTTTTGGGGTTATTATGAATAAAGCCTTTACTAATATAAGCATTCTGATAAAGGTTTTCATGTAAATGTAGGTTTTCATTTCTCTGGGGTAAATGGCCAGACATTCAATTGCTGGGTTTTATCATAGTTGCATGTTTAGTTTTTAAAGACAATGCCAAAGTGTTTTCTCAAGTGACCGTACCATTTTACATTCTCACCAGTAATGCATGACTGATGCACTTTCTCTGCATCCTGTGAATTGTCTGCTGAAATAAGGGATAAAAGCTATTTTTAGATGGGGAAAAATGAGTTTGGTTTTATGCTTGTGGAATTGAGGTGACAACAGCACATCCAAGTAAAAATGACTTTTAGGCATATGGGAATGATGTAGTACTAGTGATTAAAGATGTCTCAGATCTGAAAAAAGAAATGAATGGGAAAGATAACCACCTGGAGAGGGGCAAGAGAAGGAAGAAAACTATAGAAGTTGATGGGAACCCCAAGGGTCCCAGAAGAGGGTAGAGACAAGAAGGTAAACAAAGTAGGTAGATGGTTTATAGAACATGGGAGAACCAACTGCTGCTTTCAGTAGCTTTGGGCCTTGGGCTTGCAAATTTGCTGCACAGTTCTTCTGTTTCCCAGGGTACTGAAATCGTGCTGCTTCCAGGGTGTGTGAACTGAACATACCATCATTTCGAGAAACTGGAGTTCAGGATATAGTTGCTCAACATTTATTGAATTATTGGGAAGTAGTCTCAGTTTAGAACATAAAAAAAATTATCACCACTCTGTCTTTTGTTTATTGTTGAAACTCACCAGACTCTTACCATTAATGGGATCGGGAAAGATTTGGTGACCCCATCTAGAGCCAGGGCATAGCCAGAGTGCCTGCTAGCCTTGTGAGTTTCTCTGTGCAGCAGAGGCTAGGGCCCAGCTGCTCCTCAGTGTAGGCCCAGAGCATGGCAGTGCCTGCCTTAGCCTCCCTGCTCTCTCCATCCTGTGTTTGTGAGATACCCTAGTCTCCAGTTTTGGAAAGGGGGCCACTCTTTGTCTTGAGGTTAAATTTCTTAATCCATCTTATTTGTATGTACCCTTATCAGTACATAAGCAAATACCTAAGACTTAAACTATTTGCTAGTAATGACCAGGCAAAGCCAAACACAGCTTTTGTAAGAACCTGGACAAAAATATTTGAAGCCTACCCAATTTTTTCTTTTTTAGATCAACATGAGGTTACAAATGATTAGGTTACATTGTTTGTGTTTGTTAGGTAAAGTTGTAGTTGTGCCCCTTGCCTAGGAGATGTACTATGTTCCCTTACATTGTGCCCATTAGGTAAGAGCACACCAGTCCCTCTCTTTCCTCCCCTTTCTCCTCTCCTCCCTCCTCCAAATTGAATTTGAGTTTTTCTCTTGTGTGGGGGTGTATTTGTTCATATCTGGCTTCATGTTAGTATTGAGTACATTGGATACTTGCTTTTTCATTCTTGTGATAATTTACTAAGGAGAATGTTCTTCAGTTCCATCCAGGTTAATACAAAAGATGTAAAGCCTCCATCTTTTTATGGCTGAATAATATCCCATGATATACATAAACCACAGTTTATTAATCCATTCATGGGTTGATGGGCACTTGGATTGATTCCACATCTTGGCAATTGTAAACTGAGGTGTGATAAACAATCTAGCACAAATGTCCTATGATAAAATATTGTTTTTTTCCTCCTGGGTAGAGACCTAGTAATAGGATTGCTGGATCACATGGAAGCCTTCCCCAGTTTTTTTACACATTACTGCCATGTGAGTTGTATTTAACTTATGCCAGTTTTGTATCCAGGACCTTGGGAAGCATATATAACTGACACACTCTTGACCTATCTTAATAAGACACCAAGGCCCCAAGGACATGATTTTTTTTTCGAGTGGTAATCAGTGTATTAAATTTTGCCAGTGGTACCTAAGGGCACTTAGGCCAGAGTAGGCAAATGGTGGTAAGTTTCAGAGGAGAAAAAAGCAGTGGTAGATTTTCTTAGTGATAGAATACTTGAAGAATGGAAGAGAATACAGTCTATATCTATAGCCTTGCTAGGATTGTCTTTTGGGCGCCCAGCCCTTATCTGATTTAAAATAAACACTTTGCCTATTGTTTATTTTTATACAAAGTGTTGTCTTCTTGGGACTTCAGGCATCTTAAGCTTTATTGAAATGCTATCCTTAGCTGCTTTATATTTTTTTCTTTTCTTTTTTAGAGTCAGGGTCTCATTCTGCTGCCCAGGCTAAAGTGTAGTTATATCATAATAGCTCATTGTAACTTCAAACTCCTGGGCTCAGCCTACCAAGTCACTGGCATTACAGGTGTGCACCACAATGCCTGGCTAATTTTTCTTATTTTTTGTAGAGCCAGAATCTCACTGTGTTGCCAGACTGGTCTTGAAGTCCAAGCCTCAAGCAGTCTCCCTGCCTTGGCTTCCCAAACTGCTCTGCTGGGATTACAGGCGCAAGCCACTGCACCTAGTTTGCTTTCTGTTTTGTTTAAGTGAAGATTATAGAACTTCAGCTCTAACTTTTCATTTTGTGTACTTTTCTCTCCCAATTTATTCATGTCAGGTTGGATTTGGTCTAGGGAGTCCCAGAAAGAAGTAGAAAGAGAGAGAGAAGCATACCGTCAGCAAACTGCTGCTTTCCAACAGGATCTTGAAGCCAAGTACCATGCTGTGATCTCAGAAAATCGGCGTGCTGTTGCTCACTTGTCTTTGGAACTTGAAAAGGAGAAAAACAGAGCAGCCAGTTATCGAGAAGCCCTTATCTCTCAGGGGCGCAAGTTAGTAGAAGAAAAGAAGCTTCTGGAACAGGAGCGGGCCCAAGTGATACAAGAGAAAAAACAGTTACAACCTTTGAGAGCTGAATATCTGAGCTACCTGGAAAAGGAAGATGACTGGCAAAGAAGAGCCAGGCTATTGCTGAAAGAGTTTGAAGATGCTCTCACAGAAAGACAGAGTATCTACTGTAGTCTGCTGCTTCCTCGCAAGAAGAGATTAGAATTAGAGAAGAACTTACTGGTACGAGCATCCATTGACCCAGTTGCTACTGACCTAGAGATGGTAGCTGGTTTAACTGACATATTTAAGCATGATAAATATTGTGGTGATGTGTGGAATACCAACAAACGCCAAAATGGGAAACTCATGTGGCTATATCTCAAATATTGGGAACTAATTGTTGAAATGAAAAAGTTTAAGGTAGTAGAGAAAGCCATACTAGAAAAGTAAGACAAGAATGAGATAATTTTAATGACTCAAGCCCAGTTGTCATTGTGCATGCTGGGTATCCAACATTTTGTATAGTGCTGCTGGCATTGTGACCTCGCGTCACCATCAGCAGTGACCACTCCTCCACCCCTTGTGAGCAGAAGCACAACAGAGCCTTGAAGACAGAAGGTTTCTTCCTCAAGCCTCTGTAGCTATTATAGTTTCTCTGAAGCATTTATTAAGCTGCTAGTGTTTTATTAACCAGTGTAGTATAATCTCATATTTTAGATCTAGGTTGATGGATTTTTTAAAAAGTCAAATGTAAGACTGAGTGCATTAGCTCACACCTGTAATCCCAGCACTCAGGGAGGCCTGGGTGGGAGGGTTGCTTAAGGTCAGGAGTGAGACTGCCTGAGCAAGAGTAAGACCCCATGTCTACTAAAAATAGAAAAGCTAGCTAGGCATTATGGCAAGCACCTATAGTTCCAGCCAGTGCAGAGGCTGAGGCAAGAGGATGGCTTGAACTATGATGATGCCACTGCACTGTAGCCAGGGTGACAGAGTAAGACTCTTGTCTCAAAAGAACAGAAGGTCAGCTCAGCACCTGTAGCTCGGCAGCTAGGGCATCAGCCACATATGCTAGAGCTGGTGGGTTCAAACTGAACCTGGGCCTGCCAAACAATGACAACAACAACAACAAAATAGCTGGTGGTTGTGGCGTGCCCCTGTAGTCCCAGCTACTTAGGAGGCTGAGGCAAGAGAATTGCTTAAGCCCAAGAGTTGGAGGTTGCTGTGAGCTGTGACACTACAGCACTCTACTAAGGGTGACATAGTGAGAGTCTGTCTCCAAAAAAAAAGGTCATGTACAGTATTGATCTTTACCATAAGTAACTTGCTGTCTGTTTTTATCACTCCATAAATAAATTGTTTTTCTCATATTTTTCTCTCTCCCAGATTACATATAGAAGTTGTTAGGTGATGTGTAGAACTGCCTAATAGGTGGTAATAGAAAGTAGTAATACTGTGTTATCAAGGATTCATATTTTAAAAACCTCTCATTCCATCATTGTGGGCGGAGGGGAAATGCTACCTGTTTCTTGTATCCAGTTGATAACCCTAATATGTATTTGGAATTTGGCTGTGTCTGTATTCAGTAAGCAGATTATTTATTAGTAATGATATATAATCAGAAGTACTTAGAATTTGTAAGTAAATATGCCACATTCTGTGTAACTCTTTACTCTTGACAGAATGTTTTTACATACATTATCTCAGTTTTCACCACAACCTAAAAGGTAGACAGGTACTTAACTATAAACTCCTTTTTACCCTAATCCTTATTCTAATCCTATGAAGTAAGTCTTATTCTCTGAGTGAGGTGATCTGAAAGACCACCCCCCAGTTCCCACTGGGGGATCTCACAGGCCTTAGCCTAGAGTTATACTCACAGCTAAGATTTATTATGTGAAAGGACACAGCAAAATCACCAAAGGGAGAAGGTGCAAGGATGAATTCAGAGGAAACCAGGTGCAAGTATCCCAGAGTCCTTCCAAGTGGAGTCACAAGGGACATGCTTAACTTGTAGAACAGGTTGTGACAACACTGTGGAATGTCCACCAGGGACACTCACTAGAGACTCCGCACTAAAGGGCTTTTACTGGGGCCTGGTCAAGTGACACCATCCGTATGGCATGTACCAAAATTCCAGACTCCCAGAAGGAAAGCAGGGGTTTGGTATCATTGATAGTGTTGGCACAGTTTAGGCACAGTGAGCCACTCTTACAAGTTAACAGAGCTGAGAGCTCTGCTGAGATTCAAGCTCCTAGATGCCAGTCAAGAACCAGTGTTATTAATTTTCTTTTATTGAGACAGACTCTCACTTTCTTGCCCTCTATAGAGTGCAGTGATGTCATAGCTCACAGCAACCTCAAACTCTTAGGCTCAAGCTATTCACTTGCCTCAGCCTCCCTAGTAGCTGGAACTACAGACACCTGCCACAATGCATGACTGTGTGTGTGTGTGTGTTTAGCAGGCCCTGGGCTGGGTTCAAACCCACCAGCCCTGGGGCATGTGGCTGGCACCCTAACCACTAACCTGTCGGCACCCAGCCAAGGACCAGTATTATAAGCAGGCCTTTGAAAGGACACAGCTTCAGGCCTGCTGTGTGAATTCTTCACACATCTCATTTTACAGATGAATTAGCCTGCCTGCAGTAACACATAGCACTGTTCGAGCATGAGCTCAGGCACTCTGGTAACCATATGCAAGTTAGTGGCCAAGCAGGGATGGAGCAAGGTGTCCACTTGCTTTTAAATGCCATACTCTTCCACCCTGCCTCTATTTCTGCTGTACAGAAATAAATTTATTATGCATACTAATCTAGAAATCTTAAGTGTAGAAAGCTATGATATGTTGCAGTCAGAGCAGCTGCTTCCTTCTCAGTTGCATTGAGTACATATTACACACAGCCATATGATTTATATTTACATTTTATTTTAAATCCTCAGGACCATCTTAAGGATGAGGAAGCAGGCTTGGAGAGCTATGGGAAGTTGCTAAAGTGGACATGGGCCCTCATCTCTGAGCTCTCTGCTCTTAGCCCCATGCCCTACTCAGGACAGTTGATGCTTTCTTCAATGGCTACTTATAATATCTTTCTGCTATGTTGCCATCACTTTAAGAAAACAATTTTTTTTAGGTAATTCAGGTCTAAAAAGCTTCTCTAGGTATTTGTATTTCCTCATGCATTACACCCTTGCCTAAAGAGTGGTGCAGATTCTAGTTCCTTTTACTCTATTGATTTGCTGTGTGTCCCTGGATAAACCATTTAGTGCCTTTTTTCTTGCACTTGTCTTTAAATGAAGAAAATATGATCAGTTATTCTGCAGGTGAATTTCAAGATGATTTTTTAGGGTGAATTTTAAATCTTTATCATGTTTTCTAATGTTCAACATACTCAGCCTGGCTTCCTTCAACATTGAGATAAACTTGTTCATATTGTTCACATCAATTTAGATACTGACTCAGTACTGCAAAATCAGGGAGATAAACTTTTCATCCAAGTAGCCTTAGGACATGTTTGTATTTGCATGGCTTGGCTGCCTTCCATTGGTAAGTTTGAATATTAATATAATGCTATCATTCTTAAAATTGATTTTGTTAGGTTTGAAATATCTACACAATGTTGTGGCCATTTGAGGACTTTGCAGGTGTACTAAAAGTTAATTGGAAAAAACCAGATTAGGGGAAAAGTCATCCCCAACAGCTGTTGAGAGGGGCTACAGTGAGGAAAAGAGACATCATATTGCATCCTTTTTTTTTTTTTTTTTTGTAGAGACAGAGTCTAACTTTATCACCCTTGGTAGAGTGCCGTGGCATCACACTGCTCACAGCAACCTCCATCCGTTGGGCTTAGGCGATTCTCTTGCCTCAGCCTCTCAAGTAGCTGGGACTACAGGGGCCCACCACAATGCCCAGCTATTTTTTTGTTGCAGGTTGGCCGGGGATGGATTTGAACCCGCCACCCTCGGTATATGGGGCAGGCAGCACCCTGCATCCTTTCTTTCTGATTGATTTGGGGACATCAGATTATTGTGTATGAGGTTGCAGTGACTTAAAAAGGATGGAGTTTTAGGGTTGAGTGTTTAGATTTTGCATTCTAATTTTGCTTACTTGAGACTGCTGTACTTTGGGATAAAGAAGACATAGCAATTGGCCCAGATACTGCACACAAGATGAGAAGCAGGCAGCATTTCTGTACAGTAATCAGCTTGTTTGTAGGTGTGCTTTTTTCTCCTTTGTGAAAGCTCATAAAGATACATAATGATTATATGTATTTCAAATGTGTATATATGTGTGCAAACTGGAAGATACACATTGATTTCATAATGACAAAATACTGCAAATCTTGAATCAGTGATGGGATGTTTTGACAGGGAAGATAACTTCACCAGAGAAACTGTGTTCTTTCAAACAGAAGCTATGTGTAATTAAAATATGTAACTCACGAGATCTGTGTTGGATTTTTTAAAAAGTGATTGTTGATTGCTTAATGATGTACTGAGATCATCTCTAAGAAGAAGAGAAAAAAGGGCTCTCCAGTTACTTTCACATCTTAGTAACACTACATAAAAGCAGATCTGTATAATAAAGATACCTGAACTTGCAGAGACTAGCCACAATGTGTGTTGTAGCCAGAGCAGTGGCTTCCTGCTCTAGGTTTAATGTCCCGACAGCAAGACAGCCCTGTGCTGTGTTGGAGAAGAGACGTGACTGGAGAAGTTTGCTTTGCAAGCAGCTAGGCTCATTTTTTCTGCTTTGAGTTATGTAATGAGCTGAATTTTGTGCTTTGGTGCCAAAAGTGCTCCTCACCTGTCAGGAACCTCAGAGTAATTGCCTTTCTCCAGCCACACCCAATGCCTGCATCTTGCTCATTCTTCTATAATGAGCAGCCAAGTTTGGGAACTGCTGGATTAGATGGTGCTGTGGCCTGGAAAGGAGTGGGGACAGTGCAAGTTGAGGACAGTGGTGTGTGTGGCTTTAGCTTCACAGGAAATCTTGAAAGAAAGCAAAGATGTTCCAGTAAGCTAACCCCTATCAAGGCTTCTGTGGCAGCTTTGAAGGAAGCTTTCATCTGCTATAGACCCTTCCTGTTGGGGTGATGGGACCAAGCAGTGGCCTGAATGCAGCTCAGCAGTTTCCAGTCCAGGTCCACCCCAAGAGTGTGGTACTGCGGATTGGACATGATGTTTGGTGGGTGAGCCCCAGGCTCATGGGAGTCCTTTGTGCACCCTGCCTGTGCTCTGCCTGGGAGGCCTGTGGAGACCTCAGGCAAGGCCCAGCCCAGAGAGTGGGAGTGCTGGGCCTGGCCTGGGTCCAAGACCTGGAGGTCCTGGGGGAGGGAGCATTAACAGAAGAAAGGTTGGCTGGGCAGACAGTGACCATCGGGGTGCTACATGTTAGGTATTCCAGCAGGGACTTCAGGGCTGAGCCCAGGCCTGTAGGGAGGGCTTCTTGCAGTTGGTTAGGGGCCAGTGGGTAAGGAAAGGGCACTGGGGCCTCCTGGTAGGAGGGGGCTGTGGAGAGTTCTGGAATCCTATTCTGGAGGTTTTTGGCTCTGTGCTATAGCTCTGAGGTGGCTGGTCCTAGCAGGGCAGGGGAGGCCGAGGGGTCCAGAGACAGGTGGATGCCGTGACTATAATAGGTGTCCAGCCCAGAAGGCTGTGCAGGAGCCATGGATAGTGTGATTACAGGATATAGTAGGTGACAGCTGTCGGGCCTTTGCTCAACTCTAAAAGAGGAGGAAGCAGGGGGACGAGAATGGAGCAGCAAGCATGATGAGAGCAGCAGACACCTGGGGCATATGATTAGCCAGCAGGAAGCAGCACTGTGCTCAGCGCTGCAGCTGCATGGAAGAACTGAGGGGTGTAAGATGGTTCCCAGTGGAAGGTGGTGGGTAGGCAGCAGTGGGCCCCTGGAACTTCTATAGGAGCACCACTTACAGCTACCATATGTATTTGCTGGCTGAAATCAGCACATGCAGAATTTCCACCGTTTGCCTTTGTGTGGGAGGTCCTTTCCACAGTAAAGAAATGCTCTCCATAAAAACCAAGCTGGGATGCCCCTGGGCCCTGGTTATATGCCTGACATATGACCACAGATGCCATGTGACCACAGGCAAAGTCCATAAAATGCTGAAAGGGCAGATTCAGGATTGGGGGCAAACAGGGGCAGCATGTGCCCAGGGATGGGCAGACGAGGTGTGGGTCACACTTGGGCTGCCTCCAAATTGCTGAGACAACATGATACAGGAGAGATGCTACCCAGTGAGCAGAAAACAATATGGGTGAGTAGAGAAAGCAAAGGATGAGTCACTCAACAGGTTGCTCACCCCTGAAAGTTAGGGTGAAGATTCCTAGAGACTCTGGGACACCTTCCTGACTGGGGACACAAATTTACCCTTGTGTGCAGAGAATATCCAGGGAAACTCCTGGGGAGGTAGATACATGAACACATGGGATGGAGACATACCTGAGGAAGGGACATGGGAGTACCTGAGATGGAGATACACCTGGGGAGGGGACACAGAAGCACCTGGGATGGAGATACCTGGGTCAGCTTGCCATGGTGTGACATACACTGTAATTCACATTCTTGGGGAATAGGTACAGTTCAGCATATTATGAGGGTTGAACCACACCAAGCACTTGCCTATGTCTTGAGAATATATTTTACTTTTAGACTCTTAGATCTTTTTTAAAATTCCGAATTTCCCTGAAATAAGCACTGCATCTGAGTAAACTATACTTTATCAGTATTTAATCATTCTATTACTCACCCCTTTCTTTGAACAAAGCCAATCTTGGTGGGAACCAAGTCCAAATGTATCTTTTTCAGGTGCTATTTAGCATAATCACCTGAACTCGGGAGTTCTAGACCAGCCTTAGCAAGAGTGAGACCCTGTATCTACTAAAAATAGAAAAATTAGCTGTGTATCATGGTAGGTGCCTATAGTAGCTACTGAGGAGGCTGAGGCAGGAGGACTGTTTTAACCCAGGAGTCTGAGTTGCAGTGAGCTCTGATGATACCACTGCACTCCAGCATGGGCAATAGAGTGAGACTCTGTCTCAAAAAAAAAAAAAAAATATATATAATATATATATATATATATTTTTTTTTTTTGATAGAAGTTATGAGGTGAACACTGGGGCCACTTTGAATGAGAGCTGATGGCCTGGGCACTTGCAGGTTGAAATGCAAGACCTCTCAGCATGATTTGAGGCCCTACTCCACTTGTGTGAGAGCTCTGGAAAAGTGTTCTAGAGCAGCTTTGAAAGCTTGGAGCAATAATACACTCAGTTCATTGCTTGTTTCTTGAATGTCTGGGTCAAAACTTCCAAAGAGAGGTGTGGAGACCTGGATATCCTCCCGGTCTGCCTGTAGCAGCACAGCACGCAGCTCCTGGGCAATTGCATCATATTTCTGCTGGTCGAACTTGGACATGGCCAGCTCATCCTGGGGATAGGGAGCCCCCTCAGGGTAACAGTCCTTGGGCACTGGGAACTCAACATACTGCAGCTTGGGGAGCTCACAGAGAGCAGTGAAGAGGCGCCTGAGGGCCTGAGCTGACAGCGGGTTCCCAAGGAACTTGAGCTCCTGGAGCTGGTGGCAGGGGCTAAGGCCCAGGACCAGCATGCTGGCGTGGCTGTCTGTGAACCCACACTCCTCCAGGGTCAAGACCCTCAGCGTATGGGCAGCCTGGCTGAGTAGTCTGAAGAAAGTGGCGGGGTACAGGTTGGCCAGGTTGTGTCCACTAAGGTCCAGCACCTCCAGGTGAGTGGCATGGATACAGTCTGCCAAGAAGGCCATGTCTGCATGGTTCAGGGCACAGTTGGCCAGATCCAGCGCTCGAAGTGGGGTCCTCAGGGGGCTATAGAGCAGGGCAAGAAAGAGCACCAGTGAGAGGAGATCCTGGGAGGTAGCTGGGTATAATCTGTTTGTCTGTCACAGGAGTTAACAAACTGTAGCAAAGGCCAAACCGTACCTGGCACCTATAGCCCATGACCGAAGAAGGTGTTTCTATGTTTAAATAATTGAAAAATTGAAAAGAATAACAGTGAAACATGAAAGTTACATGAGATTCAGATGTTGATGTCTATCAGCAGTGTCACTGAAACACAGAGAGGCCTGACATTTGTCCTTGGAACAGTGATCAATTGTTTTATCAACACCTCTTTTTGTGTGTGCAGGGAAGTAATTCATATGGCCCTGTTGAGCACGTCCACTCAGAAAGCTGGCTGCAGGGGCCATGTGAGTCAGCAAGAAGTATGATGACACCAGATGACACCCTGTTGCTCTGAGGTAGATAAGGCCAGGCCACACAGTTTCAGAACTGGGAAGGATCATGCATCTAGTCCACCCTTAGGTATGCCTGGGGACCTAAAGAGCCCCTGACTTGGTCCCACTCCCCACGATCTGGTTTGGCTGAAGGAGAGTGGGCATCACAGCCCCAGTGGATAGCAATCAGTGGGGAGGGGATCTCTAACCTGGGGCTCTCTCAGGGAGGGCCCCCAGCAGCATTTTCACACTCTCAGCCCACCCTGCCCTGGCAGGCCTGTCTCCGCTGAGCAAGGCCAGTGATAACTGGGGTTCTGAGCTCAGTAACCCCTACCTGAGGCCAACCCCACTCCAACCCTCCCTGGCTGTGGCCCTATGGCTCCCCTGCCCTACCAGACCTGGGCCTGTCTCCCAGTTGCCTGGGTCAAAAGCACAAGCACTCAGGTTTATGACTTGTTTTGTTTTGAGCCTCTGAGGATTGGGTAACATGTTATTTAACAATCTCTGGCTTCTTCTGCCTTGTTTACTTGTTGATTGGCATATTCTTTTGCTACCTAAATAGGTATCCCTGGAATCCTCTCATATCCCAGGGCACATACAAACCCTCAGTTGTTTCTTTCCCAGTGTCTCTAACTCAGGTTCACCCCACTGTGAGGTACAACTCCTCTCCTGCATGGCCTTGTAAGTGGGCAGCCTTTGCATCCTGCCAGGGGCCCCAGGCTTGGCCTTGGCCTCAGTGCAGTCCCCAGAGACTCACCTGAGCAGCTTGTGGACTTTCCCAGTCAGCCTGGAGAAGGCCATGCCCAGCTCATTGAGCCGGCTCATCTGGCTGAGCTCCCTGGCAATAGAGGCGAGGAGGGCATCCTCACCATCAGGAGTGGAGGCATAGGCAGGAGCCATGTCGAAGGCCTTGGTGGGCAAGGTGAGCGAGACTAGCTGGGGCAAGCCCAGCTGCAGCAGCTCCCACACGTGGCCAGCATGCAGACGCACATTGTGCACCACAGCGAGCTTGTGCAGTGTGCTGGGCCCAACCAGGCGCACCACCCACAGGAGTTGGCTGGGACTCAGGCTGTCCACACGGAGCGAGGGGCAGTGTATCCGCAGAGGGGCCTGACCTGCTGGCCTCAGGGCCTGTACCACCAATTCAAAGTTGCCCTCCGTGATGAAGAGGTCAGCAAAGACCTCAACAGGACGCCCAGCCACAAGGTGCTCTGCCTGTAGGGCACAACAGGCCTTGGCCAGCAGCTGGGTGCGGCCCCACTTGCCAAGTGCCCTCCCACAGGGGCACTGCTGCACCTGCACATCACGGATGCCTGTGAAGTCAGCCACCACCAGCTGATGTCTCCTTCCTTGCAGCACATGATCCGCAAGGCCTTGAAGGCAGGCCTCCAGGCAGGCCCTGCAGGCCCGGTCACGCAGGTCCTCGGGGTGGTCAGTGTTAGGCCCCAACAGCGTACCCAGCCGGAACTCCACCAGGGGCCAGCACCCTAGCACAGCACGGATCACCTCTGCCTGCTCCAGCAGGTAGCTGGCTTTGAACAGGAGTGGGTAGAGGTTGTGGGCCACACTATCCAGGCTCTGCAGGGCCAGCTGTGGGTGGGACACCAGGGTTCCCGCAGCAATGAAGCGGAGCGACCTCATTGTGTTGTGGCCCAGGCAGGACGGCACTCTTCCCAAGGCTTGTGCCCTCTGTGTTTGTTTTTAGCTGTAGCAGCTGCGCCACTGGGCAGAAAGTGGTTGGCTAGCTGTGGTGGTCATCTGACTGCTATTTTTGTCCTGGGCATCTATTTGACTCTGATGTGGCCTTGGGGCACCTGCAGCAGGGTGTGCTCAGAGGCCTGTGCTAGAACTACAGGAAACCAGTCCTGGTTTGTGTGCCAGCCATCAAGGCCAGTGGTCCTGTCTCCAGCTCACAGTCAGCAGAGGATGTGGTCAGTCCCCTGAGTTGCATGTCCATGGTGGCCTGTGGGGCCAGGGCCCACCTGTGCTTTGTATCTGGGAGTGAGTTGTGGGGCCTAGAATAGGGCGAGCACCTGTTTCCTGATCTTAAGAATAGATAATACCAACCCTGTGAGGTACCACAGCTATTCTGTCCCTTCTCTGTGACTTCATTTTCCCATAGTTCTAGGGCAGATAGAAGCAGGGGAGCCACCTGAGTCTCAGCATCCTTGTCTGCGATCCCTGGACCCAACTGGTAGGTAATGCTGCAGGTGTGTGGGGCACACCGCTGGGGCTGGGCACTTCAGTACTCACTCTAGCCCTGAGGGGTGTGACAGCTACAGGACTCCTGGACCCCACTCTCCCAGGATTGCTGCCATTTAAGGCAAGGCCAGCACACGCACCTCATATGAAGTGAGCTGCACCTGGTGAGTTGTGTGCCAGGAGGTTCACAGGTCTTGGGAGGTCTTGACTATGAGAGACTCACAGAGACAGATAGAGACAGAGATGGGGAGAGACAGACAATGGAAGGGCAGGAAGGAGAGGCCTGGGGTAAGCCTGATTGGTTTGCTATCGGTGGTACCTACCTGACCCCACCTGCCTTGGTCTGTCCCCTCTCAGCCTTATCAGCACCTCTCCCATGGAGACCATTGAAGGGAAAGGGGTGTGTCCCATGGGGATCCCCCCAGGAACTGCCAGGAGATGGCAGGCCTGGCCGCTGATTTTCCCCCGCAGCCTCAGCCACCTCCCTTGGTCTCACATCCCTGGATCCCTCATGAGACATACAGGTGGTATTCCTGGACACATGGCCCATTTTTAGGCCCAAGTAAGAGAATCTCCAGGACATGATAGAAAACATGTTGCATTTACCTAAGTTGATGAAGTTTTGAACAAGTCAGTTTTTTTTTTGCTTCGAGAAAAAAAATATATATATTTTTATTAAATGATAGCTGTATACATTAATGCAAACATGGGGTACAATGTAGTGTTTTCATATACAATTTGAAGTACTTTCATCATGCTGGTTAACATAGATTTCATGTCATTTGCTTAGTCATTGTGTCAAAACATTTATATTCTAGTTCTAGAAAAGTTCACTTGTACCCTTGTTAGACAGATATATAGGTGATCTTTCCGGTCACCCTCCCACCACCCG